CCCGTCCTTATTCACCATGAGCTGTGCTGTAGGCAGTTACAGCCCCATGGAAATCAATGGGATAATGAATACTAATTAGTGGCAAGCCATAGTGGGAGAATCTGGCAAAACATCCGTCCTTGCCCCAGGAGTGGGAGTTCCTCAGGTCCCTGCCATTGTCACGAAGTTTGGGGGGCCCTCATGAGCCTGTGGAAAGCCAGGTTTTGAATATTTACAAGCAGCATAAAAATTGGCCCCAAAAATCACTTCCTCATCAGTTTCACTAAACCTTCATTATAATGTAAATTGCAAAATTGGAAGGAATTCAGAGACGAGCAACAAATACGACTAAGGGGGTTGGAGGATTGATTTATGAGAAAAGATTAAAAGACCTAAGAATTATGCAGTTTGACTAAATGATGACCGTGGGCCTGATCTTGCAAACTTTTCCCAGAGATGGCTCTCCACATTAAAGAGCAAGTATGATTTAAAAATATCTACCATGTCCTCCAGTAAGAAGTTCTGCAAATCAGTATTCCAAACTAAGACAGAGGGGAGCATTAGTTTTCATCTTGCAGCTAAGAAAGTAAAAAATTCTTGTACAAAGCTCAAAGATCGTTTTCATTTTTGGGAGATGTTATTTGTCAAAAAAAAAAAAAATTGAATTTATTTACATCAGGAAGAAATAGGAGGCATTTAAATACTTGTGGTCTGAAAATGACCAGTGTTACAGGACTGATAGAAGATTGATGATTTTCACATGCTAGCCTGTTAAATGTCTCTATTTGTACCTTTCTGAACTGATGAATTGCACATTTGTATGAGTTCTACACAGCTTTTAGTGCTTTTGAGGATCTGCTTAAGCTGTAGAAAACATTATAGAGATGTCACAGGATCAAGCATATGAAGCAATTCAAATTACAGAAGAAAGCAACAGGAAAATGAGAGATGCAGCACCTCACAAGGAGAGGTACAACACCAAGTCCTAAAACTGCATTCCTGTCCCATGGCATGGCTGTGTTTGAAAAACCAAGGTACAGTAGTATATCACTTGCTAAAACTTGGTTTCAATATTGTTTTAATAATCATCACAAGATGAAATAAATAAGATTTATCATGATCGGCAAGACTGGTCTTCCTAAAGAAAAAATTTGGTAGTATTTTCCTTAAGGTTGGATTGAAATATTCTACTTCAGAAAAAGTAACTTTCTTTTTGTTAAATTTGGGAAATGTCAGGACCTTCAACTTCTTTTCAACAGATATGGTTGGTATGGCCATAAAAAACTTCAGCAGGTTTTTCTCAGTTAAAAATGAATATATTTTATAAAGCACAATTTTTTTAAAATGTCAGGTGAATCAGAATCTAAACCAACATTGAAACAAAACATAATGAAAACAGAAGCAAACCCAAAACACAAATAGATCAAAATGTAGTAAAAAAAAGAAAAAAAAAAAAAACAAGAAAAAATTTTGTGGTTTGTCTCAACCTAAGCAAAATTCCACTCATTTTTTACCTGTCTGTCCATCTCTAAAATCCATCACTCATCAGGCTCTTGCTTTGGGTGGCTAACAGACATGGACACGGGTTCAATGCATGACTGGCTCTGCAAAATAGAGTGCATATAATGCCTCCAATATATTAGAGTGTAAATAATGCCTCCAATCTTGGCACAGCAACTGAAAATCCTCACAGTTCTGGTCCCTAAACCAAACCTGGCCCAGAGAGATATGTCTGAGTCCACCTTGTGATGGAGAAAGCAAGTTCCCAGCATCTCCAGGAACAACCTCAGTGATTCAAGAGATTTGTGTTTATATCAGCAAGCAGAGAAGTAATGACTATTTCAGAGGCCCTGAAGCAAAGAAAAAAACCCACCTTATCTTTCCTAAAAACCTCACAGCTGCTTATCTGAAGCAGTTCATGACAGTGAAAGAAGTGGATAAATGTGTCGTGTAATGCTGCAATGAGATTTTTAAAGGCAGGCATGATTTCACTTAGGCAAGCAAGGGAAGGGTGAGTCAGCAGATGATTTCCTAAGAGCGATCCACAGCTGGCTCCAGCGTGGTGGCTCCAGCGTGGCCAGCAAGGCAGGCTGGCTGGTGGGCTGGGATGGTGCCAGCTGTGACCCTGACCTGCCAGGACACAGTCACCAAAGTCAACAGGAGAGAAGCAACACCTGAGGAAAAGTGCTGGGCCAGGGAAGGCAAATGCCATGGCAGAAAAACGCCAAAAAGTCTTGGTAAGCCAGGGTAGGTCCACCACAATCTTCATCCTCTCTCCCATGGCTGTTTCCTATTGCACTTCCCTGATTCCCACAAAAATTCCTCTTATGGAGGAAGAGGAGGATGAAGAAGAAGAGAGAGAGAAAAGCTCTAGGAGGCCTGGGAGATGATGCCCTCCTTCCCAGCTCCTCTTTCACAAGTCTGGGTCCCCCTTCCCCCAGTGGGACATGGCTGATGACGTGCTGGTGCCAGCACTTTCCCACCCACCACAGTGCCTGGCTGGAGCCAGCTGCTCCAGCACTGCCCGGGAGCCACGGCACAGCAGGATTGTCCAGCCCCTGTGGAGGAATCCCACCCAGGAGCCTGATTGCAAGGAATGATGCTATGATATAAGAGTATCACAGAATCACAGAATAATGAGGTTGGAAGAGACATCTAAGATCATCAAGTCCAACCTATGCCCCAACACCACAACTAGACTGTAGCACCAAGTGCCATGTCCAGTCTTTTTTTAAACACATCCAGAGATGGTGATTCTACCACCTCCCTGGGAAGACAATTCCAGTACTTTATTAGTCTTTCGGTGAAAATATTTTCCTGATATCCAACCTGTACCTTCCCTGACATAGCTTGAGGCTGTGTCCTCTTGTTCTGTCAGTGCTGCCTGGTGGGAGAGACCGACCCCACCTGTCTGCAACCTACCTTCAGGAGCTGTAGAGAGCAATAAGGTCACCTCTGAGCCTCCTCTTCTCCAGGCTAAACAACCCCAGCTCCCTCAAACGTTCCTCACAGGGCTTGTGTTCCCAGCCCCTCACCAGCCCTGTTGCCTCCTCTGGACGTGCTCAAGCATCTCAAGGTCCTTCCCAAACTGAGGGGCCAGAACTGGACACAGCACTCAAGTACAGGGGAAGAATGACCTCCCTGCTCCTACTGGTCACACAATGCAGGCCAGGATGCCACTGGCCTTCTTGGCCACCAAGGCAAGAGTAGGTGAGTCTGTGAGTTCCCAGTGAAGGGCAGGTAGATGTCCTTCCCTTCCCTCTGAAGTTGGGGATACCAGGGTCTCCTCTCTCTGTCCCTGTGCTGCAGGAGGAAGCAGGAGCATCCAGGAAGGAGCCATCAGGGTCTGCTGTCACAGATAGAACACAGCCCCTGCTCCATGGAGGGCGGTGATGGAAGGAGGAACTGAGAGGCACAACCTCTGCAGACCATGGAATTCTACCTGTGGTCTGCAGACCAAAGTTTCACCAGTTTTTTTCCTGCTCACCATCCCTCATCCACATGCCTCTGGCATAAATATCCTACACAAGTGTGTTCTGCCCCACATCTACCCCACACAAGCAACACCTCAGCCAGCCCCAGGATACTCAAGAGGTAACATGGAAACACCTTCAGTGAGAGAAAAGGAAGTATTGAATAGGGGATGGTGAGCAAGATAAAAAACTGGATGAAGCTGAAAAAAACTGTGGATTTACTCACAAAATTTGGGGGGTTTATCAACCCTAATTTTTATACTAACCCATGCTTTCAAGTACATTTTGCCATGTGAACTCTGATAGGTTTTCATGCTTTAGTCTAATATTGCTGTTCCTCTTGATATTTCCTCTGGTTATTCCTGCACAGGTTCACACTCACCATCACATTTTTCTCCTTTTTTTTTTTTTCCCTTGCAAGAAACTCATAATCAGCTTCCCTGAAAAACTCTGCAGTTCAAGAGTGCCATCTTGAGGCTTCCTAAGTATAAGAACTATGTGCTGATTGAACCTCGTGTATTTAGGGAGTTATTTACATTTAAAATATCATTTTAAAAGGCATGAGCATGTGTACAGAGGAGCAAGTAATTTCCGCTGTGTATTACCTAGAGTTAAGGGATCCAGCCTACAGAAATGTCACCCACAGTCAAAATTTTCAAAAGCAAACAACACTAGTGAGTGCTCTGCTTTGGGATATACTATCTGAAATGCTTCAGGAAATACCTGTTGTTCAGACTGTGCTCATTTCCAGCCTTCTGAAAAATCAATGAACTTCCAAAGTGTTTTAAGCCAGGTACTGAAAACGAATAATTATTATTTTAATTTTTTTTCCTATAAGATGCATGTTTGTATGTTTAAGTTAAAGGCAAATTTAGAGGGAAAATAAGACTATGGCTTTCACAATTATTTTAAGTTGACATTGGGAGAATATTGATTTAGCTATTCCCATACTTTAAAATAAAAGACAAACCTTCATGCTTTGGAGTATAAGCTATGGGGTTCTTATGAAATCTTTCTCCTTCTACAGCAGAGTCCAGTCACCAGTAATTTATCCCTGCAGGAGAGCAAATGGGTAAATTGCTACAACAAATCATGCATAGGTTGAGAATTTACTGTTGAAAGTGGGATGTTGCTTTTCACTCTTCCTGCTGTAGCTGCCAGGTGGCTTTGGGCTTGGGAAAAGGATGTGTGCCAGCACGTTCACAATGAAGTGCCCTAAGGATGAGGCGCCACAGGAAACCAGAGACCCTCAAAAATATGCATTGTTAGCACCACAAATAACCCCATGTTTCCTTGAGATATTTTTCATTTGGAAGCCGAGCAGAAATGTAAACCTTTCTGGAAGGAATTGCCCGTGATGTACATCCCCCAGTTATCAGCAATATCAAAGTTGCACAAGTATGCTCCTTTTGGTATTTTTACAAGAATTTTAGATTGCATTAGATGGGAAGTCATAAAACTGTGAATTTGACTGAAGTCCAGATGAAAAGCTATCTACCTCCAGCTACAGGAAGAAGTCCTGCTTGTTTTCCAGCAGCAGCAGACTGCAGCAGAAGGTAATTTTATCCTCAGCACTTAGTACAGCTACGACACATCTCACAAAAGAAATCCAGCATCGGCTCTGATCATCCTTAAACTATCAGGATCTGAGTCATATCCCAGTCTGGAAGGAGGAGTGGGTAAGGAACTAATTTCCCTTTCACAGCAAAGAAAACCACAATTTTTTTTTTTTTTTTTCTTGCTTGGAAGTCCAAAACACCTTGCCAATAGTTGGTGAAGATGTGTCAGATCTTCTGAATGGGGTGGGAGCACCTTGGGACAGCTCATGGACTGCACATCCCACACAGATCTCCTTGTGCTGCTGGCCAGGGCAGCACCGGGATGACTTGGGATGAAAGAGAGGAATTTTTAGTAGTCCAAGAGAGCCTAAATAAGACAGCCACAGTCCAGGGGTTAGAGCAAATGAGGTCTATGTCCACAAGGAGAGGCCGTTTTGGAGATCTGGGTAGGGTTAAACCTGTTCACAGCCTGATTCTGGGTGTAGCCTGCGTTATTAATTGAGGACTGACACACTGCTGAGCATGAATGGCGCGGCAGAGTCTGTCTCTGTGTGAGTGAGAGATCACTGAGACTGAGCTGGGAGCTGGTTCACTTGGAAACTATGGCTTGGGAATGAGCCAGGTGTCTATTTTGGGTCTCTTCATAGGCTGGAATTGCCTGCAGTCAAGCTGGACTCCTTTCTAGGACAAGCTAAAATGTTGCTCTGTCTTCTAGAGGAGCAAAGAGCAGGAATACTCCAATAACTAAAAAGATTTCAATTTAGTTGGCTCTTAGCTCTAGGCATGTTCAAATAATTTTAAGCCTGCTGCTGTAATTTATATTATAAATTCCCAGTGACAATTGGGAAGCTAATCAAAAGGTTCAAGAAGATTTACACAAAAGTTAATTCCGCAGTCTAATCAGATACTGAAAGGTTTTGAATGTGGAAATTTTGACAATTATTTAGCCAAATGTTACATTTACATTTGCCAACGAGGGATGAAATTTGAGTACATGTTAATATCCTTTTGAATGTTTCATAAAATTTGCATTAATCAAGGTATTACTAAGTTGTCTTTAAAGTTTTTTTGTTTTGCAGTCATTGCAGTGCATCATAACATATCTTACGTGGGTTGTAAAAGGATAACATTGTGTCCTATCACATATTTAAGTTGCATTCTAAGCAAGTATTTTTGCCTGTGTTAGTATAAAATCTAAATGTTCTGGAAAATTGTAATTTTCTTTATCTTATTCTGTACCTTCTTAAGGTATTTTAGATACTTGACATTCATATGTACACCTCTCTACAAACTTGATTTATAATTATAAATCAAAAGTAATTAGTGCTACCTTCTAGAATGATTCATACAATTAAAACTTTAAAGTTTTTTCTATCAAAGTTAATAAACTTTTTTCCCCGAAGAGATAAAGGGGTAAAAGAAAGAGATTTTTTTTTACAACCACCGGTCAAAGACTAACTACTGACAGTGATTGGGGTGATTTTCCCAGGTTATGTTCAAAAATAGGACTGAAGGACGCACATCAGGAGACAATCATTTCACTGGAAGGAGAAGAACAGCTTGTCTGACTTAAGCCATCACTGCAGTGATTTGGAGTGGTAAATGCAGGAACATTCCGGGGATATAGCTGTGAGGTAAGAAAACCATTAGCGGTTTCAGGAGATATTTCTGCCAGGGACATGCAGATCATTTTTTTCTATTCCTGCATGTGTAAGAAGTATTTCCAGGAGAACTTAAATAGCATCACTTGCTTGAGAGCAAAGTGTTGGAGCTCATGCAATGAGAACAGAATATGGAAATTAACAAGTAATAGAAAAGAAAACTGTTGTTTCAAACACTCTCCTCCATGCATTGGGAAACACAGAGAGCTCCACCGGTGCTGCCATCAGCAAATGCCAACTGCACATTGTGAAATGCTGGGTATAGCTCTGTGATAAGCTTATGTACATATTTCTCTGCTTTAAGCAAAGAAACTCGAGGAATGGGACCTACAAGAAAGATTGTCCTTGAATGAACTCTGAAAAAATAAAACCATGTAGAACCTGTATGTAATCCTCTTACCTTTATGCTTTTTTTTTTTTGATCCAGTTGTAAAGTAAGATGCCAAGTTCACCTGCCTGCAGGTCTAGAGCTAGAGAAAAATGGAGAGGGATGTAAGCAAAGACACCTAACCAACCTTGTGAGCAAATAAGTGAAAAAATAATTTCAAAGAGAGTGTGTGTGTGTGTACACATGCAAAATTTTATCATGTGATTTATAGTATATATAAATACACAAATGCTACATTACAGCTGACTGAATGATTGTTCTACAGTCAACCCCAAAATTATACAAATAGGAACTTGCAAGTGTGTGTAGGCTGTGAGTTCCTCATGGTGTGAGGAGGCACCATGAGTGTTATGTTCACCTTCACCAGTCATCAGCCAAGCCAGCCATGATACAAAGCCAACAATGTCAGTTCAACCAGACTGAAATTAAAAAACTAATTGTAAAGCTGTCCATATTAAAAATCAAATCAAATAAAAAATAAATATATGGCTCTGTGTGCAACATCAGCTGTCTTAAGGGGATCCACTGTTTCTGAGTAAAAGACACCAGTGCTAAAGGTCTCCAGCCTCACCCCTTGTAGCAAAGCTGGACACTTCACACCAATTCATGTCACACCTGTGGATGTGATGATGGGGACAACAGCCACTGACTAGGGGACAGAAGGGAAAAAGCCATACAGAAAACTGTGCATGCCTTTTCCCTTTGCTAATTTTCGATCTTACCCCGGGGGAAGATGTTCAGTTTGCCTGTTAAAAAGCTGAAGATCCAGATGGGAGAAGGCTGTAAGCAAGACGCCTGTGGCTGCTGGCATTCCTAAAGCAGAGCCACTAACTTCTCATTCAGAAACAGTTTTGACAGTGTTCAAATGAAGGGAGGCAGAGGAAGTTTGCTGAACACTTCTTCCATCACTGTGGCCATCAGTGGGGCTGATAGCAATTGTAAAAAATTAGTGCAGAAAAGATCAGCTGCAAACATAGGCACAACCTCAAAGTAACTCCTGAGTATTATTTTTTCTCTGGAGAAGACTGCCCAGTCTCCCAGGAAACCAAGTTTGGCTATATCCTCTCTTACCTTTCATGTAATGTGTCAATAACTATTTATAATTGTTTTTTCCTCCACATACAGTCAGAATACACATTAACTCCAGGCAGCAGCTTTTTCTTATAAAGCCGGTGGAAACACAGGTTTCAATTTCCTCCCTGTTTCTGATTTATGATTAATACATATCTCCTTTGCAATGGCTCATATGCTGTCACTTTTGAACAGAAAAGCACTAGGGAACTTCCAACTTTGAAATTAATTACAGGAATAAAGGCTTCTCTGCCTATTTTCTAATTATCCCTTTCTTTGTTAATGCCAAATAATGCCTTTAGCATCTTCCTGGAAAAAGTCTCATTGATCGCACTCTGTGATTATAGTGCTTTTATCTCCCATCTGTGCTGTGAAAGCTACAGGCCTTCCATTTCCAAACCAAAACCTCCATGATTAAAATCATTAACACAAACAATAAAATAAAATACAGAAATCTGTACAGGTACGTAATGCAAGCCACACACAAGGCAGCCTTATCTAGTCATGGATGAAGGAGGAGAAAATAAAAAAATTGGCATGACTCTGTGATTGAAGGACAAATTAGACTTTAAACTAACCTAAGAAATTTTGCAGACATTGAGAAAACTCCCAAGCATTAAGAGTCCCCTGGTGAGATGGCTGGACAAGGGTCACACCCCAACCAACACTGAGCTCTGGAGCAGGGTGGTTGTGCTGCTTCACTGCTCACATTTGCTCTTTGCTAACCCTCTGCTTCAGGTCAGGGTGTCATTCCCACCCACCCTGGCCTCCCCAAAATGCTGGGAGAGCAAGGAGGATCCTGGAGATGGAGCTGGGATTGAGATGGATGACAACCTGAGACCAGAGCCAGGAAGAAAAGATGTCTTGCCAAGCTCAGAGATCAGGACAGGAGCACCCTGGGGTGTCAGCCCCAGGAGGTAGCAGCAATATGTCTGTCCACCTCCCCCTGCCCAGCACAGGGAACCAGCAGGGATGGAGTGATTGTGGTTTTACAAGTTATTCAATCATCATCCAGCTTTTCCAGGTGTCTCTGGGAGGGGGTTTTCATGTCCAGTGACTTTTGACCAGAGCTCAGAGAAGGATGTTTCCCAGGGTGGCATCTCCCTGCACACATGGCAAGCACCTGGTGGCTGCTGCTGCTCCACTTCCCCCTGAGATATTCCCTCCTGAAGGGAGCACAGGAAGAGCAGGAAGAGCAGAGGACAGCCTGTGCTTGCTTGGAACACCCCACCCCTCCTGCCACACCTCATTCTGTGCCCACCTGCCCCAGCCTCCTGGGGACACCAGGGCAGGGCCAGCAGCAGGGCTGGGAGGGCTGGAGGAGCTGGATTTCCAGGACAGAGCTGTCAGCACACTCCAGGGATCTGCCAACATTATGAAACTCACAGGAAAGTGCACGTGTGTCATTTTTCTACTGCACACACCTCATGTCAGACCTTGTTCTCTCTGGTTTTTTTTCGCTTTGTCTCAGTTTTGGCTCCACAGCTTGTTGCTCTCTAGCTTGTTCTCATGATCCTTTGAGTTGTGCCATGGTGCTTTGAGCTGCTTGCAGAAGAGTTGGCAGAGAGCTCCTGTTTTTCTCCTGGTGTGCTTTAAGCACGGAGAGCTGGAGGGGATGACATTTGTGCAGGTTACTGACCTGGAGGCCTGGAAGCCTCCTGGAAGAGGATGATGAATGTTGTATAATGGAGAGTCCAAAAAGTACACTGAAAGCTGAATTACAAACACCTGGGGAGCAGTGGTGCTCTCAGCTCCACCTCCCACACCCTCCCGTGAAATGTGTGAGTTTACTTTCCATTGCTTCCCTGATTTTTTTTTTTTTTTTTTTTTCCATTACAGAAAAGCCTAAAGCATTTCCAAGGGAAATATTAGTGAAGTGTCATGGAGGATCATGAGTAACACAGCCCTGGGTTGCCCCCCTCAAACAGGATCCCAACAGCTCAAAAAACAGCTTCAAAAAAATCACACCATAGCAGCAGCAGCAGCAGGAATAAATGTCTGATAAAGCAATCAGAGAAAGCTTCATGACTTTTAAGACAATGTGTGCTGTCAAAAAGCAAAAGAAAATATCCTCCCATGTGTTTAAGTGTTCGTTATGCAAAAAAAAAAAAAAAAAAAATCAGAGAAAGCTTCATGACTTTTAAGACAATGTGTGCTGTCAAAAAGCAAAAGAAAATATCCTCCCATGTGTTTAAGTGTTCGTTATGCAAAAAAAAAAAAAAAGGTCTATCTTTTTTGGCAATTTCTTGAAGGGCTTGATGTTTCTTGGGTTTTCTTCAAAGAAGATCCACAGAAACCAGTTTGAAAATGAGCACATTCTTTGTAATACCTAAAATTAACAACAGTGAGGCCCCAGTCTAGACCTGATTCTCTTCTTTAAAATTAGGTTGGCCTGCACTTTTCATTTATTTACTCACCCAAGCAGCCCAAGGGAATACTCTTCGTGTGTAAAGCAAAGCACGTGCCCTTGCAAGAGCAGATTTTATGTCCCTAAAAGCAAAAATGTAATGTTGCAAATGAAGGAATGCCTCATTAGAATTGCATTTACTTTGCCACAAATGCCAGCCAAGAATTTTTTTTTTTTTTAAACATATACCCACACTTATGGCTTCCAGATATATTCTGCTACCAAAAAAGGGGCCACAAGTGGCCTGTGATATGATCCCTCGTCTAAGGGTGTCTTTGCAGCTCATTAAAGAGATGCCTAAGGAGCACAAAAGCAATGGGATGTGGGGAAAGAGAGAGGTGGAGGATGGCTGGCAATGATCACAATTCAAGAGCAATTCAAAGAACAATGGGGCCTAGGATGGGATTCTCATCTCTGTCTTCACACAACTTCCCACGAAGAAATACTCTTTCCCACAGACAGTTCCATCACAGCAAGAGCTAAGGATCAAAAGCCAACCTTGAAATAGCTTTCTATTAACATTTGTTTTAATAAAACGAGCTTTGGATGAAATTTCAGTTCTTGAAATTACAGCAGATTTTTTTTTCTAGTTGGATTCATTTCTGCTTTCCCATCCACATTTTGCTATAAGCAGGGTTATGGCCAGCTTCTTTTATCTCAGTGAAATTTTGCCTTCGTGGATTAGGAATAAAAAGAAAGTACAGTGTTTGTTGTAAAACACTGCCAGGAATTCCCCCAGCTAACGCTCCTTTGCTTCTCTCCCCATAGGTAGAAACAGAACATTTTGCTTTTGGAATGGGAATAGTTTGCATATTGCAGCTGGGAAGAGCACATCTCTTTCTGAACTCCGGGAGGCAAAGGCAGCCTAAGGAGGCTCTTGCAGGGGTGCCTTGCAGAGAGATGTTAACTTGGGCTCCCACAGACTGCTGTGACTCTCCATGCCAAGAGGAAAATGTGTTCTATTTGCAAAGTGCAGGAAAGTTGCAGAATGTTTCTGAAGATTGGTGGCTGCCCTGTGAATTCACTCTCTGCAGAGTTCACCAAGCAGTCAGCTGCTGAAAGAGCCTCTCAAAGTTTTCATTGAGCTGCTGGCTGCCTCCCCTCACCAGCTATCTTCCTGACTGAGGTTAAATAAGGACAAGCCTTTAAAACTCTACTATCTTAAAACAAGTTACCTTATTTTTTGCTGATTTGGCATCTATTTCCATGGAAACAGGAGCAAGAACTAGAAGCCAGCAGCTGAAGTTGGCTACACCACTGCTCTTGGCTTGTTCTACTTCCATTTCCATGGAAACTGATGCAAAATCACTGCAAACTAGGCAAAGTTTGTTGTTTGTTTTTTTTTTTTAATTAACCCTTTCTTGATTTTTCCTGTTCCAGATTAAATTTTTGCCAGAAACACAGGCACAGAGTCACTGGAAATGCAAGGAGGAGCAGCACAGATGCCATCAGGAGCTGTGCAGGTGTTTGCATGGGAGCATGTGTGTACACTTCACTTCCTAACATGAATCTTCAAAGTAAGCTCCAATTTACTGTGAGGATGCTAAAGAAAAAGAAGTGTGTGATGTAAGGGAGGGTAAAATGCATGATTGTCCCCCGTGGAGGTTAAAGGCAGAAGAAATAAATTGGCAATGGAGGGAAGCAGTTTGATGAAAAGAAAAGGCACTTCTTGTTTTCTATGTTTCTATGTAAGGCACTTTCTATGTTTTCTAGAGTTTTCTAGATTATTTCTCCTCTGAAGACATGCATGGTTTTATTTTTGGCTAAAAAACCATTGTAACTCAGATTTTGGCATATCTTTTTATTTTCTCTTTCTTTTTAACTCCCCTTCTGATCTCGCAGTGTGCTAGAGCACATAGAGCTCATGCCACAGGCTTTCACAAGTGCTGGGTAACACATGAAATTTAATGTGGAGCCAGAATATTTCAGGCTGTACTACAGAGTTTGGGCAGGCTGGGGTTGACCATGGAGCATGAGAAATGCAGGTTTTCTTTAAGTTCATGGCTGAACCTCATCTGAGATTAACTCATGTTTAAGGAATTGATTTATTTACCCTGCTTTATTAGCAGCGATTTTGTGCCTATCCTAAAATATCTGGATCCAGACATGCAACGCCCAATGTAATAAAGCATTGAATCACCTGTGTGAGTCCTCCAAAAGCCCAAAAAATATAATTAATTTATGGCCATGCTTTGCTGTTTCACACTTCTGGACCAATGCTCACATGTAGAAAAAGTTTTACAGATAGTAAATCTGCTTAAACCTGGGGGGCTTTTGAGGACTCTCCTGCAATTGATTGCTATTCCTTCTAAAATGCAAGGAGGAAACCTGGGGGAGAAAATGGCTAAAGAGAATGGAGGTGGCCTAGGTCACACATCTAGTTAGCAAAATATTAAAACACTATATTTATAGGCAGAAGAGAATAGAAGCCAAGGTTTTAAGAGTGATGAAGAAAAAAAACCAAAGAAAATCAATACTTTTTGTGTCTTGATTAATTATTTCTTCCAATTAATACACTTGCCAATTTTAAAGAACCTCTTCATATTTGCACTGGACACAGCAGAACCTGGTCTGTACCAGCTCTCGATGCCTGGATATCAAAAATTGTTTATGAATATGAAAAATTGCCACCTGCAAATGTCAGCTGCATTCTTACAAAAACATTCAAGACTATAGGGCACATACTCCCTTCCTTATGTGGGAAAAACAAAGGTCACTGCCTAAAGTGCATTTGTACTGTTAAAATTCATACTGAAAGTCCCAAGTCCTAACACTGGGTATTGGTCAAAAGCACTCCCAAGGTTACTCAAAGCACACTCCACATCTTTCTCCCAAACTGCTTCTCCTTCCATCCAGACAGCTGGATTGATACAGCTGATCAAAAGAGAGATTCCAGTCTGAGGGACAGAAAACAAATGGTGCCAAACAATGGTTATCTAGAAATAAAGTTATGGTTTGACAAATTTATGGCTTAGCAGTCTGCCACTGGATCAAATATCTGTCATGTTTTATTCTTTCAGGGCATATTTTTAAAAGATTTTTTTCATTTATCAAGTAACTAATTCAGGAGGAATTTTTCATACCTATATTTTAAAAGTGTTTCACTTTGGTCTTGGAAAGCAGGCTGGTTTTTTTAACAGCTCTGGTTCATTGGCCAACCTGTTCCAAAAGGTTCTCCCTGCCATGTCATTTTTATTTTAGAAGACCATGTTTTGTCCTGCTTCTGCCTCACAGAGGAAGATGACCAAAAATCTGAACGACACCAGAAAGTCTGCATTATGTTTGATCCTTTTAACTACTGGGATGCTGAACAAATAGCACACATCCAAGAAACATACTGTGGGTAGGTCTTTCCCCTCTGAAAAATTGTATGACGTGAAAATATTTCTGTTTTTCTATAGGAAGAGATTTTTATTTATTTATTTATTTAGCCTAGGAAATGATGCTTTGTTCCTTTGTTGCAGCAATCACAACAAAAAAAAAAAAAATCAGGAGGCAGGTGCTGGTGCTGCAGCTGCAGTCGTGTGGACTTGGACTGGACCTAAGGAGATGCTTGGTTGTACCAGTGGTCAAGGAGCCCATGCAAAGTCACCACCAAGGACAGCTGCTCCTTGAGGAGGAGCTTTGCTCCCTTCCCAAGCAGCTCATCCTGGCCTCTTTCCCTCATGCTTTGTGCAGGGAGTGACCAGCACACCCCGTTCTGGTGTGCAGCCAGAATATTCTTTTCACTGCCATTTTCCCTTAGGCTTGAGATTCCTGCATCTCATTTTCTGTCTGTGGATACTGATGCACCAAAATCCAGGATCCTCTTCCACAGTTTTTGCTGCTTGGCATGGTCTCCTGTAAATGCTGCAAACACCAGAGCAGCTGACAGCATCCAGTGGCCTTTTGTACTGATATTTTAGCCTCTCACAAACTAGAACTGGCCTTATGTGTTGACTGCAGCGCCTGAGGCTTTTCTTCTCACTGACTTTTTCTTCCAGCTGCCTACCAAGTGTGTAAAGACTTCCCAAAGAACAACAGGTTTCCTCTTCTGCAGCAGAAGAATGGAGTCAGGGAGAATCCAAAAATACTGCAGACACAGAACAATACCTATTTTTATATATAATTAATATACTTGATTATTATTGTCACTTCAGATTAATTACATCCAAGATTATCACACAACAGGAATTATTCCCTGGTGAGGGAAAAAAAAAAGCTCAAATTTGTATCCCACTTTTAGTATTTTGATTGATTCAAAATGTAGAAAAATCCATATACAAACAACATCAAATGTTCTCAAAGAGAACTGAAGTGCAAACATTCTCTGCCAGCTCAGCTGTGGTGTTTCACACCATCCACACCTCAGTAGCTCATTTTTCTGTCTGTATTTGTAGTCTGGGCAGTGGGGTTTGTTTGCTTGAGTTTTTTATCCTCCTCTTCCTTTCTCTTTCATCTTTCAGCAAAAGAAAAAAGGAAAGAAACAGGGCGGGGAGAACAAGACTCTGTAACAGTTGTCCATTAAAAATCCAACTGGAACAAAAATTTTCTGTTGCAGATCTCTTCAAAACAGATGTTTCTTTCATAATCATGCAATCGGGAGGAAAACAGAGAAAAAGGAAGTGATCGCATCCTCCCAAGTGCTGTGAGTTTTGTAGCATTCAGAGTCACATTTTTCGTTTTGAAAGAATTGAAAATGTGTCAAGCTGCTCTAGCTATAAATCCACACATCCAGCCCAGCCTGAAGTGGGGTTGAAGTGATAAGCAGTTTGATACCAAGTCTGTACTGATAATTTAATGATTATCTTGGATGTGATTAATGAAAAATGCTATTAATAATAATCATGGTTGCACCACACCCTGAGCTGCTTTCCACCCTGTCCTGAGAAGCCGCTCTGTGTGGCAGCCAAGGTCTTATCCGGGCCCTGCAGGCAGCATGACCCAGGCAGGGATTACTGAGAGCCTCAGGAAGAGCAGGAGCCTCTCCTCTTCCAGCAAAACTTTGATTTTTCCTGTCTATTGTTTCCTTTCTGTGCGTGGCAGTGAGATGCAGCCCTGCTTCAACCCTCCCAAAAAACCCATCCTTGCTGAGCAGGCTCTTTTGCAAACCTGGGCTGAAGAGGAAGATGAGATGATGTGACACCCAAAATCTGCTGGTTTAGGTTGGCCAAGCAGCAAAATCCCCATGAGCAAGTGCAGGTCAATAACAGCAAAGACCCTGGTGGTAATGTCAGCTGAGGAGCAGCAGCACTGCACCTTCTGCTCCTCTGCAGCTTCATCTGGGATGTTTTGAAACACTTATTGGTGATTATCCCAAACTATTTAATTAATTCTAACTAATTTAAAAGGTCTCCTACAGAGGTGTGGGATGAGCCATACATCTTTTGGGGGATGGGATGGAACAGTCCATTTCACCCCAGGGCTCATCCGAAGGCAGGGGTGTCACCGGCTAGATGGGAGAACTGTTCTCATCCTAGCTGTATTATTTATGAACAAACATATTTATGTATCATCTGCAACAATCTCCTGCTCTGCAAAGTCATTTTCAGTGTCCCAGTGGAAATGACAGTGCACCAGTGAGATGGGGAGAGGGAGGCTGCAAGGCTCTGCTGACATGAAACCACCCCTGGCATTACCCAGGGAAGGTGGGCAGCAGACTGGGGTGAAAAGAGGCAGTGGAGAGCAGCAGCTGAATTGCATTAATGGATTGGGTGGAAACTGGGAGGCAGGTTAAGTAAAAGGTGTATTTCATCCCATGAATACTTGGGAAAAATCAGCTTGTGTTCTCCAGAGGGCAGGACCTGTCCCACCTCGCTGAGCAGCTGGAGGTCCCAGCCATACCCTCCCAAACCTGCAGGGACTGGGTGGTTTTGGGACCCAGGAGCTCCACTGCCCACATGGTTATGACCAGAAGTGGGGCTGTATTTCCAGGTGTGTTTCCACACCCCTCATGACATGTGGGGAAAGGAGGGATCAGAGGCTAGATAAAAACTTTTACCTCTGTTGGTAGAAACCACTCCAAAAGCTTTTCTGCAACTGTTCTGACTTCAATAGGGCATACATTCATATTGATCCTTTTTAGAATTTTTTAGAAGTGGTAGCTTTTAGAACACTAACGAGGCTTTTCTGTTAGGGCCATGTTCTCTCTCACATGGTTAATGGTGCTGCATAGGAGTCTCTCTTGTACAAGTTTTTGGAAGGTCCCATCGGGTTGTTAGGGCCAGCCCTTGGTTCCAGCAGACACCACAGTGATCCATGTCCTGAAAATCCCACATTCTGGCACAAGGAGAAGATCTACAAGGCTTCTGCAGACCTGGCTGTTCTCCACCTGACCACAACAGCTCTGTACCATGTCACCAGAGGAAAGGAAAAAAATACAGGTTTGACATTACCTGCTGAACAACCTCAGTAAAAGAGAGGCTGCTTTGAGGAGTGCAGCCCCTCTCACAACACTCACCAAGCTGTGGTTTCTCACCTGCCTCTCTGGCTAGTTCAGATACACATCTACTCATTTTTAAGCTTTGGTTTTTCAGTGCTGTGAACAGGAATGAGTGTTTCCTACACACATCATCTGTGCTCAGGGACTGCCCAGCCTGAGCAGAAATGTTTGAGGGAATTAGAGAGCTCAGACCCTGGGGGTAAATGGAGATGCTAGCAGCAAACTTGAGGTGGCAATGATGGACCAGCTGCCATTCTTTGAATAAAAAGTTGCTTTTATAACACTTCAAGGCAATGCAGGTGTGATACTCTGTACAAAAGCACACTTACACGTGCTGTTCCTAGGAAGACATAAACATTGCCTTACATGTGCCTGAACTACACAGAAGTGCAAGAACAGCACAGACATCAAGGCATCATTAATAGCACAGAAAGCTCACTGCCCAAGTATTGGGGTTTGTGCCAGACCCTGGGGTTTGCATTGAAAAAATGCTCAATTACCACCCCCAGAGGCTGAAACCCTCCCCTTTCCATGGGGTGGCAGAGGCTGGGGCACCAGGATGGGAGCCTGGGAGTGTCTGCTCTTAAAATTACAACAGAGGATAGAAGACAGAAGGAAGGCAACTGAATTAGTAAAGAAACTGAAGGATACGTGGTTTATATATTACGTAATGAAGATAAAGACAGATTGCTGGTGTGTAATTTTGGTACCATCCAGGGAAGAGCTGGGCAGGGAGCAATGTGGGCATGGCCAAATTTGCAGAGCTACTGGCAGGAAAGAGTGGGCAGGGCTGATTCCTGCAGAGGGGATAGGAACAATGTACCAGCAATAGAAAAGGGCAGGGAGAAACTTCTGGAAGTGGGAGACAGCTAATATTTGTCTAGCTTTGGTTCTGTCTCTTTCCACCATGTTTCAAAGAGCTTTACAATGGAGTGCTAGGCCAAAGGCAGTGATGGCTCAATGCAGAGCTGTGCTGAATGCACTTGCTGGTGTTTTAGCACTGCTTCACCACTTCTGCAGGGCTCATTATATCCTCCTTTCTTCTCAGCAGGGCTTGTTATCCTCCTCTGGCAGTGCTGTACTCTCTAGACAAACCCCAAACGTCACCATCTCTATTTTCTGCATAGGGATTCAGCAGGAGGTGAAGCAACCTCAACCTCCCATGAGGACATGGAGCCAAGGAGAGACCCTGGATCTCCCAAGTGCCACAACTGATGAGTTTCTGTGATTTAAATAGCTGCCTTGCACTGCTCAGATCACCCAGCAGCCTCTTCAGAGAGTGAGGGGTAATCACAGAGCCCAACACAGACCCCTGTGGCTCTCACATCCCTTAGTTCCATCAGGCTAAATGCCAGAGGGGATAATAAAGGATGGTTACAGTGCACCTTCTCTTCCATTACAAATGTGCTAGAAAATGGCTTGGCCACTTGGTGTGAGTAGTCCAGCTGGAGGGATAAGAAGTCTCCAAAGCCTCAGTCTGCTCCTCACTGCTCCCATGGTGAAATATGGCCCAGGAGAGTCTCCCATGACACTGGAAACACAACAGCTGGGGACAGAGAGGACCCAGGCCCAGTGCCACCACAGCAACATGTGCTGCCTTGCAGCCAGAGCACCACTTGCTCCTTCAAGGTGTGCTTTCCTGGCCCTGAGCAGCAGCCTGCCAGATCTCCTGGCATAGACCCCAGCACCCAGGCCAGGATGGGTGTGGATATTCTCAGTTCAGTCAGACAAAAAAAGAGAAAGATTTCTGCCAGGCTAAGCCTGGGAAAAAGTCTGAGAGGAATATAAACAATCTATTATATTGTTTTCCATTCATATTGTTTATAAATATGTTCTACCACACTGACCTAAGTGCAGTGTACCAATCAGGTGAAATGTTTTTACTTTAAGACCAATGCTGCTAATGCTCACAATGTTCTCTATAAAAGAGAGAGGTGCTTTTGAATAAAAATTCATTTGCCTTCTGGAATTGTACGAGATATTTTGCCTGTCCCTGGCTCAACAGTGTCAGATGGGTAGCCACCAGTTTCCATAGTTCCACCAGTTCCAAGTCTTTGTCCTAACAAGAACAGCTTTTGGTGTGATCACAGTAATCTGTAAGTCTATTTGAAACCTCTGACATTCTCCTGAGTTCACCCCCATCCCTTTCTCTAGCTTCTTTCCAGTGCCAGGACTATCAAGAAAAGACATTCCAAAGCACACAAGTCTTGCTGAAAACCTCATTTTCCAAGAGGGGCATAGAGATCAGGCTGCTCTATCAGCTGGGAGTTTTGGGAAAACTGCAGGCTGTCCTGCTTTCTGTGGTGCAATCTCTGCTAAACAATGCTGTTTTCAAGAAACAGAACAGTGATGATTCCACCTGACAGCCTTTCCAGTGCTTTTATGAGTAGGGCCAAGGAAGCATCCAAGAAGTCATGTCATGCACCATCACAAATCTCCAAGAATAATGCAACACCAAATGTCTGCTTCTGGTAAAATGTGCATTTCTGCCATGCTACTACTCCTTCCAAAACTTTTTTTTTACTAAGTGTCCCACATCTGCCCTTTTCTCCAGCGACAGGATATCCTTCATTTGTCTGCACCAAGAGCAGATGAGCACTTCTTCGTGTTGTTTTCCAAACTGGCTGATGGGAGGGTCAGCAGGGGCCAAAGCAGCTGCAACAAGGAAAGGAAAGATAACCATGGCAACCCAAGTTATCTGCATCCTCCATGTATTTCCTTCTCCCCACCCTACAGCATATCTTTCCCACCCAAACCTCAAGCCAATAGAGCCAGTGACCAGCTGGCAGGATGGGGACTGCAGCAGTGTCTCCTGCACCCAGAGTGTCTTGCTGTGTTTTGGGGCTCACCACTGCAGGCTGAAGTCATCAAAAGGAGACCGAAATCCTAGAGAGGGACAACTTGCAAAAAGCAGAGCTCTCCACTACTGTAGATGGGGCACTGGGTATGCTGCCTCTGCTCCAGAGCTGCAGATCCATTGATGCTGCTCCTGGTTTTGGCTCTGGGCTGTAACCCTTCCACAGCAGCAACATCTTCTCCATCTGTGCCCCACGTCAAACCCAGCTACAGCTTTGGCCGGACTTTCCTGGGACTTGATAAATGCAACGCCTGCATTGGGACATCCATATGCAAGAAGTTCTTTAAAGAGGAGATAAGGTCAGAAACTCAGCAGAGTAATTTTTAAAGCATTCTGTATAGTAATTTGAAAGTTGTTAGAATTTCCAAGTGTTTTCATGAACAACAGTGCATAGAGCAACTTAGCACCCAGTTGCCATTAAAACACTTAGTGTTTTAATTAATGCCTGTAAGCTGATGCTTTGTCTCTTTTTTAGTACTCTCAAGCTATGTCAGAGAAAGTTTAGGTTGGATATTAGGAAAAAAATTTTCACTGAAAGAATAATAAAATACTGGAATTGTCTTCCTAGGGAGGTGGTGGAATCACCATCTCTGGATGTGTTTAAAAAAAGACTGGACATGGCACTTGGTGCTATAATCTAGTTGAGGTGTTAGGGCATAGGTTGGACTTGGTGATCTTAGAGGTCTCTTCCAACCTCATTATTCTGTGATTCTGTGATTCTGTGATTTAAAGCCACGCAAACATGATCAGACTTCAGCCCTGAATTATAACTTGAAAGCAGGAGTAAAAGGCATAAATTTCTGTCTAGAGAGTGGCTCTGAAAAAAATTCAAGGCAGTGATGGGGGAAGGCAAGAGGGAAGGAAGGAATCAGTTTATTTAGATTTACTGGAAGTATTTTATTATGAGAAACTGGCTAAAGGCAAAAGGGGGTTTAGCTTTGCACGCTCCCAACAGAGTATGTTAACTACAAACATACAAACATGCCATATAATTTTGTACCAGGTGCAACAACATGAATGTGCAGAATTTCATGTGCCTTTTAACTAAGATCAAAAGGGATCTAAACCTGCCTGAGGCATAAGGACTTCTGCACATGAGGTTACCCACACGCTTGAAAATAGCATGCAGCTAAATTACTGGTACAATTTGGGGAGATTTGTGTGAGAACTTGAAAGCAGAAATTGGATCTGCCTCGCTGTTGATGAGACACACACTGTCCAAGTGGTCATTGGACCAATCCAATCATTTTTGGGCTCAAAAGCAGAGCGTATCTGATGACAGCAGGGAAAATGTTGCCACTTGTATCTGAGGAAAAAGTTAAAGGCAGTGCTTGGCAGAGGGTTTATTTGGTCTGATATGATTTATAGAGCCATATGCACTTTCTTTTATAGATATAAAAGCCTGGGGGAGAAGAAATTATTATAGTAAAATTGTATTTTTAATGCTATAATGTAAGAAGTATAGTATTAGACAAATCACCATTTTTATCTTAAACTATCCTATAAAATGTAGCATAGTAAAACCATAATGGTTTGTCTGGGATGGACTTGTAATCCTTCCACTGCTGCTGGAAAAAGGCAGCTTGTGGCTCTGCTGAGCCAGAGCACTCCTTGGGGTCCCAGTCCTTGTCACTTTGCCCTTGGCTTTCCATGTCCTCAGTGCCAGGGCGAGCAGTGAGTGAGGTGCACAGGGCTCAGTGCTGGGTTTCTGCCAGCCCAGCCTGGATCCCTGTCCCAAAATGCAGCGTGGATTTGCAATCAGCCCAGCATGCTCAGCTGGCTGACGGGCTGGCATGGGTCTGCAGGGGCCAGGGGTGCATCCAGGGTAGTGTTTCCTCTGCATTTTATTCCCTGCAGCAGGATGCCACTGCAGCTGGCTCCTGCCCCCTGACCCAACCTGCTGCAGCCCCTTTACCGCTCACCTGTGCAGGGTTTTTAGGGACTTGCTCCAGGCACAAAGTGGCTCCCTTTTGGTTACTCCCACTTGGCCAGTGGGGAGGCTGGGGCCATGCAGGTTCCCTCAGCCCTGCCAAAAATAGCAGAAGTGCCTCTGGCTGTGGGGCTCCAGCTGCACAGTGCTGTGGGAGAGAGGTGCTATGTGAGCCAAGGCAGGAAAGCCCCGTGCTGCCTTTCCTCCAGGGGACAGTGGGAACAGGGTGCAGGCATGCAGAGGGTCCCACTGGGGTCCAGGAGTGCAGAGCCACAAACATGTGGGAGCACAAGACTTCTGCCTCGGGGGACACAGAGGGGCTCCCTGAGCCAGACACTTCTTTTTCTCTCCCACCAGCCTGCAGCTGGCTTCCCACACATACGTGATAACGTGGAGTTCTGCTGTGAGCTCCTCGGGAAGGGGAACTTAAAAATGTTCTCCTGAGCAACCACTCAGCTTCAGGCTTTCCTTTGCATGGGTAAAACTTTTTCTCCCACTTGATTTCTTGAAAAACTGGGATTATTTTTTGGCAAGTGGGAGCTGAAACTAGGCAAATTTCAGTGGTGCTTATGCTCTTTGATCCACCCTCGTACCTTTTCACGTGTTCGCAAAGGTGGATGGCACTTGGGCTTCTCTGTGTTAATTCACATTAGAACATGCTTCATTAATTCTCCATCATTTCTGGGAGCTCTGACATGCGTTCACAGGGAGAAGATGGGAGTTTTGTTCCCAGAACGGCTGGTGACTCATCTTGTGCTCTAATGTTCTATACTTCCCTTATTTTGTCCAACTTTATCCATCTGTAAATGAGGATACCAAGCCTGTCTACCAACTGTACTGAGAGCAGAGTGCAGCGAAAGTTTTTGTAAAATATTAGATTTTCAAAATACCGCAATACTGAGCTGACCAAAACTATTCAAAGTCTTGTGCCAGTGCTGCTCCTGAGCTTTGTCCAAAAATAATAGGAAAAAAAGACTGAAAAAGCTGGAATGCTTCAATTAGAAGGGGGGTTATAGGCTATTTCTTTTGTTTGTTTGTTTGTTTGAAGACTTAGCTTACTTTTTTTTTTAAATCTGAAATTTCAAATGCAAGCAAAATTATTTTGGCTGAAACAAAATCCTTCATTTTATTCAAGAAAAAAAATAAAAAGAAAAACTCGTTTGGTTTTCAGCATTTAGTTCTGAGTTGATCTAAAATCTGTAATCTGTGACTCACTTATTCACATACATCTCACTGAAGATCTTAGAGGATTTGCTGGCCCTTAGCTAAAAAGCTCTGTAAGAGAGGGAGTGGTTGCAGCACAACTTGATGATGAATCTTGAAAGTATCCAGCAAATGTGCCAGGCCAGCGCTGTGCTGCCCAGAAATGATGCCAAATACAGACTTGCTGCAGCCCATGCCGGGTTCCCAGGCCAGAGTGGCTCTTCCCGCAGAGATCCGCAGAGGGAATCACTCCATCCACCCTCAAATTAATGCTCAGCCCTGGATTTCACACATCCATGTGCTGCTTGCATGCAGGAGGTGGCACTTTCCTGCTCTCTGCCTGATACGAGCTCCCCTGAACACATGAGCTTGAGTCAAGTCACAAGGCATATTTGTGCTTAACTTAAAAAAAAAAGAAAGAAAGAGGAAGCCAGTCCAGAGCCATCTCTTCCCAGTACGTGCCTGGCACGCTGTGCCCACTTTGCAGATTAGGCACTGGGAGAGGTCCTGATGCACAACAATCACAGTGAGGCACAACAATTACTCTCTTTTCTTTAATCCTAGCTCAAAACCAGACCAAAAAAACCCAAAACAAAATACCAACAAACCCACCGAAACAAAAAACCCAAACCCAAACCAAGTGTTTATTATCATGTCAGGTGCTTTAACTGTAGGGAATCTTCAATTTCATATCAGGCAAAATGCCCAAACAACTGAAATGCTGGAATCCACCAACCTGTTCACACAAGGCTCCCCCACTTCTAGTCAGCCTCCATGGTGAATTTCTGGAAGGAGGCAGGAGTTGAAAGCCAAAGCATGGGAAGCACCAGGGTTTCACCCATCCTGGGTACCCGTGCCTGCCCCAGAGCTCAGCAGCAAAGGGCTTGTGGTGGGGAAAGGGAGTGGGGTGCTGCCTTCAGGAGGGATCATCTGATCAGTCTCTGATTGCAGATGGTGGCTCGTGTCACTGAGTCAGTTATTTGCCTGAAATCATAGAAAAATAATCCTCCCAAATTTCTCTGTGCCAATTTCCCAAATGGAATTTGGAAGGAAAGACCAGCTTCAGCTTTCAGATTTGTTAAAGTCATGTAAGCTGTCTGAAACTCCTGCTGGGCTAATCCCTCTGGGAACCTCTTGCTCTCCTGTTTCACTTCTGAGCCACCGGCTTTAATTTAGGGTGAGATTAAATTAGGACGTGCTTTCCTATGCACTTGGACAAGGAGCTCAGGGCAGGAGGGTTCAGAGGCAGCGAGGGTAGGATGTTGGCCAAACCAAAGGTCAGAGTTGGGCAGTTTTCCAAGAGCAGGTTACAGACACCCTCCCAGAACAGGCACCGCGCTCCTCAGCTCCGGCGGGTGCGACACGCGTGTGGGCAGGGCTGAGGGGGCTGCTGAAACAAAAAAAAATTACCTAATTACCCAGCCCATATGCTCCCCTCCTGTGCCTGTGGAGGGGGAGCAAATTAGTGCAAGATCTCCATGGCTACAGAGATGCTGCATGCCCAGGGCACACACACCGTGTCCCCCCATCACACCCCAAACTCTGCTGCTGTCAGGGAGGTCACTCATCCCAGCTGCTGAAATACAGTCAGGGGTGTTGGGGGAGACAGGTAGACCCCTGCACTGACAAAAGCCACCATCCCAAAACAATAGGTTATTTTGATATTCCCAAATACATTTGTTGTCAGGAGGTTTTCATATCAGGAGGAGCCTTTAAAGTGTCAAGTACTCCTTTTTTGGGACCCTTTCCCTGTAAGTAGGAAAATTTAAAAACACCAGGAATTCTTCATGAACCAAAACCCTGCAACCCTCTCCCTTTCCTCCCTCCCTCTACCCAAAAGACCCCATTTGGGTGTTTCACCCTTCGCTCCATGGCAGCATTTATGACAAGGGATCCTTTAAAGTGTCAAGTACTCCCTTTTTGGGACCCTTTCTCTGTAAGTAGGAAAATTTAAAACCACCAAGAATTCTTCATGAACCAAAACCCTGCAACCCTCTCCCTTTCCTCCCTCCCTCTACCCAAAAGACCCCATTTGGGTGTTTCACCCTTCGCTCCATGGCAGCATTTATGACAAGGGATCCTTTAAAGTGTCAAGTACTCCCTTTTTGGGACCCTTTCTCTGTAAGTAGGAAAATTTAAAACCACCAAGAATTCTTCATGAACCAAAACCCTGCAACCCTCTCCCTTTCCTCCCTCCCTCTACCCAAAAGACCCCATTTGGGTGTTTCACCCTTCGCTCCATGGCAGCATTCATGACAAGGGATGGTACTAGTGGGAAGCAAAGAAGGACTTTTTTACCAAAACACATTTCTTTAGCTGATGGTTTCAGGCTGCTCACCCTGGGGCCACCCAGCCAGGGTGTCTCAGCCTTTGCCAGGCGATGGCAGGGAGCCCCAGGGGCCGGCCTGGAGAAGCTCAGCGGGGCGGGCGCTGTGTCCGTGTGGCTTTTAACCCGCTCTCCGTGGGGCTCTCGTTTTGGTTTGGCAGGTTTGACACCTGGCTTTCTTCTCATTTAAAGCTGCCCCCCAGCTCCCTGCTCAGCTACTCGGGCAACTACACGGACGATGCCAAGAGCTGGCGGCTGGTGGACATCACCCGGCTGACCTCCAAGTACCAGCACGACCGGGCGGACAAGCGCATCTGCACCTCCCTGCTCAAGAGCAAGAGCTGCAGCCTGGAGCGCGCCCTGCGCCGCACCCAGCGCTTCCAGAAGTGGCTGCGGGCCAAGCGCCTCACGCCCGACCTGGTCCAGGTCTGTGTCCCGGGGCTCCAGCACGGGCAGAGCACGGGGCAGAGCAAGGCCCGTGGGGTTTGGGGGTGTGAGAACGGTCTCGTGGGCGTGTGGTTGTAAGGTGCTGGCTGGAGGGTGAGATTGGGCGGTGCCTGGTTGGTGGAGACGGGGCAGCCTGGTGTGCCGCCAGCCAAGCCCACCGGCCAAAGCAGGGAGGCAAAATGATGCCCTGATGGGAAGAAGAGTGCCACAGTTGAAGGCCAAGCTTTGCCAGCCACAGAATAACTAAATAACTCACAGAAGCAGGCTAGATGTAAAAGGAAAGGAAAAAAAGCCAAAAAATCCAGCTTTTTTTTCTGACTCTAGTATATATACAATAGTAAAAGTGACAGTGGATTGGAGGGTGAAACTGCCACCTCTCCAACCACACTGGTCAAACCAACAGTCCATCAGTTCTTTCCACCCACAACGATGAATGCAAAACAATCATTATTTACATGAACACACGTGAGAAAACTCAGTTGAAATATCTGAATATCAGAAGGCATAGGAACTTTTCGAAGAACTTTAAAACTCTCAAAAGAACAGGGTGACAGGTAATACCATGGCACAGACTGTATAGGGCTGGGATGGGCTCAGCCCCACTGAGGAGAGCACCAGCCCCTGGCTCCTTGTGCAGATTGAAGCTGAAGTTCTGTGGAAAGCCACAGCATCAGGTGGCTTCAGGCACAGGGATAACAACAGGCTGTGCACACAAAGGTGGTAACAGCTCCAGAGATTGCTGCCATTTTTTTTCTAGTTTTCCATCATGTCTTAGCATTGTGGGGTTTTGGGGCTTTTTCCATCATAAATTTGTACCCACAAGGGCAGCCAGTGCCTTGAAAGCAATTTTGCATTGGGCCAGGGGCCAAGTCAGTGTGGGTCTCTCTTGCTTGTGGCTGGCAGGACAAGGGGCATGGGCTGTCAGAGCCAAAGCCTCGATTACTCATTGTCCTGCCATCCATAGCAAATGATCTCAGGCACAAAGAAGCACACTGCCCTTTCTCCCACAGTCCTGGGGTGCCACAGGTGAAGCCAGGACAGGAACATGGTGAGTGTGCATCACCACAACCACGTAGATGGGCAGCTACAGCACAGGGCATCCCCCTCACCCTACCCAAACAACAGCAAAACATCACTATAACCCCTGGAAAGGGCAGGGGCCAGGGTGGGGGTTGGATAGACACTGAACAAGACCTGAGAGACTAAGGATTATTCCAGTACTTCTTCCCATTCCAAGAGAGAAATGACTGTGAAAAAGTGACTTAATTTATATTTCTATATAGGCAGCTGCTCACTATATCCACTCAGCTCTGGTGAATGCTAAAGCTATGCTGCTTTGGTTCTTCCTCTACTCTTAGCCTGTGGAGCAGCACACCTTAGGAGAGAGAGGGAGGGATACACTGGGCTTGTGCCTGGAGTGCCCCAAAATGGACTCACCCAAATCATGCCAGTCCAGCACATCAGGTCACCCTGAGCTCACTACCCTCCTGGGCAGCACATGCCTGATGGGGAAAAGATTTTTGGAGCAAAGCTACCCTGTACTTTGTTTAGCAGCCTCAGGAGAGGCACTGCAGGGAGGGGATGGTGCATCACTTCACTCAGAGCATCCCTCACCTGAGCTTGCGGGCAGGGACAACTCCTTAGGCTGGCAGGTGCCCAGGCAGCTGCTGGCCACCACTGGTGCTCCAGGCAGCACTGCAGGGCCTGCAGGAGGGCAGGTTGGGCTGCCAGGTCCTTGCTGTGCTGTCCCTCCACTCCCCAGCAGTGCTGAGAGAAAGAGAAGGAATAGAGAATTTATAACTTCAACTTGCTGAGCTGGGCGAAAAAGTAACTGGAGAAATGTGGCTCTGTGGTATCTCAGACCTGCTGCAAAGCTAAACCATCAGCTGAGCCCAAATCCTTCTCCTTAAAAGGCTCCTCGTGTGCTACAGTTTTCCCTACCCCGTCCTCTCGGAGTCTGAAATGCCAGCTGAGCTGGCAGGGTTGCACACACAGGCACACACACATATATGGATGCACATGTGCACACACAGCACCACGCTGGGCCACCCTGCCCTTGCACCTATCCAGTTTCTCCAGGAATTTCCCTGGGCAGCAGCAGTGGGAAGCTGAGCTGATGCCAGCCCCAGGGTGCCTCTGAAGGGAGCTCAGGGCCAGCCTGGGGAGACGTGCCCAGTGACAAACTCCCTGGGACATTTCATCAGCCCCTGCAGCTTTGTAGTTGGAAAGGGCATGGGAGGCTGCAGGGAGGCCCAGACCTTTGCACATCAGCCTCAGGATTGCTCTGCTCATGTTTTCATGGTCCTTTGGTTCTGTAAATCAATCAGAGAAACAAAAATTGGAATTTAAATCCATTCTAACAGCATATACATTTGAATACACAGAGAAATATAGTGATCCAGAGACCCTGGAACCTACTTCCTCATCACCAAATTTCAGCAGCAATCACTTTTTAAGATCAGGCATGTGCTCTGCAAAATGGCTTCTGCTCTCACAGTGCTGTGAACTGAAAAACAGCCAGTGGCAACAACATTTCAGTCACACATACATGTGTGTGTGAGTCTGTGTGTGAGAACCCATCCCACCCTGCTGTGTGGGCCACCACAGGTTACAGTCTGGCCTCCCCAGCCCATCCAGCCCCACAGGGATGGGGATCCCCCTCCTCCCTGGCCATCCCACCTGCCCTCCTCCCTCTGGAAAGCAGCACCTCTGCCTGCCCCCAGCCCAGCACCGCTGCCCCTCTGCAGTGTTTGCTGTGCAGACGTGTGTTGGCAACCCAGCAGGAGCCACTGGAGAGGGGTTTTTGGGTCTACCATGTGTCTCTGCAAATATTTACCTAAAGAACTGCTCTTATGGCTCTGTTCTGCTCTCCCTCTTTTCAGAGGTGTTAACAGAACACCTCTCTCAAGGCTAACATGATGCCCAGCCTGTTTCACAGAGCTGCAGTCTCACACAGCAGTGCTTGCTCTCCCTTCCCTGCAGTTTATCCTGTATAGCAGCACTGGGGACAGCTAATGGGCCCAGGTAATTTTGTCTGATAGACAAAGCATTACAACAAACCACAACGTGCTTGAATCAAAATGACAGACCATGAAGTGATGTTTTTCCACTTTACGCTGCCTGCCCTGCCTGACCCAGCCATCAGCTGAGCTGCCTGCCACAGCGATTATTTCACCAGCCACAATGAAAATCTTTATTGCATGCAGCAAAGTCTTCAGTCTTAAAATCCAGCCTGCCTCAGAGATGAGCAGGATTTAGCTGGGGCTCAGCCTGCTCTGCAGCCCCAGACACCCACTGCTTCGCCCAGGAGCTCCTCACCTCCAACCACTCTGGGTGCTTTCCTGCTGGAGGGGCTACAAAGCAGGTTGGCTTCAGCACAGATCACCCACAGGGAAAATTTACAGCCCTGCCTACAAAGCACAGACTGGAAAATGATGAAGGTAGACAGAGGAAAGCAGCACCAATGTGAAAATCCAGCATTTACAGACCCTCTCTCTAGGTCGGACTGTTTGAGACTACTGACCAGCAAACTATTGACCAGCAACTACTGACCAGAAATTACTGACCAGCAACTGCTGACCAGAAATTACTGACCAGCAACTATTGATCAGCAACCACTGACCAGCAGCTGCTGACCAGCAGCTCATCCTGCCCCCAGCAGATGCACCAGCACCCTGGTTATGTGGCCTCTGAGTCTAGTCCACATCTCTTCTTGCTGCACAGGGGCAGCAGCTCACTCACATGTCCAGTTGTCCATCCTAGGGAAGGATGGGCACTCTGGGGCTCCCAGAGCCACCTCCTAGACCTGCCAGCTCTTTGACCCAGTACCTGATCATCAGAGACTTCCTGCTGGCAGTGGGGATGAGTTTCTCAGAGCATTCTTACCTTCTTTCTTTTGGGAATTAAGGAGACCCTTGGATTCACATCGCCAGGAGCTGTAGGTGCTGTGACACCTACATCCAAGTGTTTCCTCCTGGAACCCATCCTAAACCTGGTAGTTTGGTGAAGTTGGACCCCTGCAGTGGCTCATGGGGCAGGAGGCAGCTGTGCTCCTGGTTTGGGCCATCCCTCCTTGGGCTGACTGAAAAAAAAAACAGCAAGAAGTTGTCTTCCACGAGTTGTCTTTACATCCAAGTGAATTCTGGGCGTGTCTGTGCTACATATGCATAAAGTGGAGATTAAAATGCATCCTGTAGTGTGTAATAGGGTTTAAAAACAGCTGAGTGGAGGTAGGCTTTGCAGGAACTACTCACTATCAGGTATAGAAATGTGGGTATTTAATCGAAGTAAATAAGAAGATTTCCACATCAATCACAAACAACACATCAGGCTGTCTGTCAGGTGTTATTCTCTAGGTTGATAAGTCACTGCAAAGGACTTAAGATATTCTCAGGTAAATTTGTATCCCCAGTGTTTAAAATATGTGTTCTTCACATTTGTCTTCCGTTGACAGTTTTTGTCTGACAGTTTTACAACTCCAGCTCCTTTTCTGCTGTAGAGATGCTTCCATCAGCCTGCAGGAAGGTGAGAACCCTCTCCACTGAAACAATCAAGCGAGGTGCTGAGCTTTATGCTGTTGACTGTCTCTGCTGAAATCAAAAGGCCCCATTGCCCAGTTTTTGTGGGTCAGGGCTTCATTAAACTGTAGGAAGGTGTCAGCACCCAGCCCTGCTCCTCTGCTCCCACTTGTCCATGGATGTGCCAGTTCCTCAGGACACCAGCAGCCAGGAGCAGCACGGGCAGCACGTGCCCACATTTATGTTAGGAGGGTGAGCTCTGACCTCAGAAAAACCCTAATTACACCATCCATGCCTTCTCTGCTGCTGTGATTTATGTCCCCACTGTGCACTCTTCAGGGTCTCAGCTTTTGCATTGCAGACTCCTGGAAGCAGCAAGGCTTTCTATTTGTCTGCAAATATTTGCATACGCACGGAGCTGCAAGAGACTTTCTCCACCATTTATCTCTTTACACAGCTCTGTTCTGCTCATTTTTTATCGCTTCTCCTCCAAAGTAAAAGTGACAGAGTCAGCCACAACGTTCTTGCAAGTGCTGCAAGACAGAAATCCATAACCATCTCTCCCCCTGCACCTCTTCTATGGTTTTAGACAATTAATTGAGAAAATATTTTCCTGATAAGGCTGCACCAGAGAAGAGGAGTGTATGAAGACTAGCAACAGGAACTGAGTAGAATTATTTTTGACAAATGTTTTATTCTTTTTGGGAGGAAAGGTTTTTTGGTTTTTGTGAAACAACGCTTCAGTTGCGATTGAATTTCTCAGGTAGTTTTGACCAACTATTGGCATTTTGGACCTGTTTTGTGCAATTGATGGCCAAGGAAGGAGTGGTTGGAATCTCACCGAGGCCAACAGGGATGCAGAGGAAGAGACATGGGACATCTAGTTCCCCCTTTCCTCCTCCAGCTGGGAAAGTGTCCTACTCGTCCTTTCCATGTTCCTTTATTTCTTTGTCTCGGCTGGGTGGTTCAGTGTTTTATGCCAAATGAACAGCTCGCACAGGAGGGGCTGGGAAGGACCTACCTCAGAGTTCCCACATGACCTGGGGAGATGCCGCGTCACATCTTTGCTCTCAGCATGAAGGATGGCAGGGAGCAACGTGAGCTCCACCTCCTTTTCCTCTGAAACACATCTCTCAGCCTTCAAATTATAAAGAGAACTCAAAAGAGCAAATTTGGCTACAGGGATAATTTTTAATAAAGAGACTTAAAAAACCTGATTCCCTTCTCCAGCAGACACATGTCAGGACAGTGCTTCTGTGCCACTGTGGGCAGCTTTCCATATATAAACTCTCCTTGGCTATTAAGGAAGACTAACTAAAAAATTTTTAAAAAGCCATTTTTTACTATGAAGGTATAATTTCTATGCCATTTATCTCAGCCATAGTTTGCTCATGCACTTTTACAAGCCAAACCTCTAAATCTGAAGGGTGAAATACAGCAATAATTGACTCCATTAGCCCAACGGTTCTCTATTTGTTGCTGGTATTTACAAAAAATAAACACAGGCTATTTGGTTTTGATAGTTAATGCATGAGTTTATCAGAGAGAGAACATATCCTGTGCTTATACTCACACACAATGTTTATTTACATTTTTAAAGCATGTTTACTGACCTTAGCAAATAGCATTTCCAAGAAAGCTGCTCTCAGGTTAAGCAAATAACAAAGTGATCAGAAGATTATTTAAGGAGGGAAGTGAGTCACTGTCGTAACAACTGGAGGGCCTCCACCAGGAATGCCAGGGCTGGAAACCCAGCCAGAAGGAAGAGTCCCATGGTGTGGAGAGATGTGGTGCAGCTGGGGGAATATGAGGTTTGCAGTGCCCAGGAATGGGGGCTGTTGTTGACACCTGAGTTGGGAAGTGGCATTTTGGATGGCACAGGTCCTCTCCTAGGAAGGGTGAGATGCCCTGTGTGCCCACATCCTCCAGAGCTGTGCCGCAGCGGGCAGAGGCGCAGCGGGCAGAGCACAGAGGTGTGTGTGTGTGTACCCCAGCGAGACCCAAGCTCATTGCAATGTCTCAGGCTGGAATCAGACCGTCCCCGCCGGGTTTTCCCCTCTCACAGGGCCTGTCCAGCCCCATGCTGCGCTGCCCATCCCAGCGCCTCCTGGACAGGATCGTGCGGCGCTACGCAGAGGTGCCGGACGCCGGCAGCATCTACATGGATCACCTCACGGACCGGGACAAGCTGCGCCTGCTGTACACCCTGGCAGTGAACTCACACCCCATCCTCTTGCAGGTACGTGCCAGCCTGAAACAGCAGCCCTCACAAGCAAACCCTCGTGTGAGATGTGTGCCAGCCTCAGGGGCACAGGAGTCCCAGCCCTGGCCTTTGTGTTTCGTCTGTGGGGCTGGGTGGCTGAAGCCAGGCAGGCTCATGAGGTGCTCCCTGCATAGGTCTGTGAGGCTGGGGACAGATAGGGAAGCCCAGGTGTGTTATTGCACCAGAGCACTGTGAAATCCAGGGTTTTACACATCCCCAGCACTTCAAAGTGTTAGGTTTGCACTGCTAATGCATTACATTTAATCACAGCCTGTTTCTGGGAGAGAAAATCATGATTTCCCATGCTCCACGTGCCAATGCTGTGTTTTCTGTTCTCCTGCTGCTGGTGACTGGCTCTGGGTTTGAAGGCGGTGAACTGGGAGGCTTCACACCCTTCCCCTGGACCCCTCCTGACCTGCCTGGCTCCTCTCTTTCCTTATGTTTCCAAGGGAGAGTCCTCACCTTTCCCCATCCCACCTTTAGTCCTCACTGCTGGGTCTTGAAAACCTTCATGATTCCATGAAGAAAAGATGGCAGTGGCAGCATCATCCAACCCTGGCCCCAGGCCACTGCTGCACTCAGCAACTCACAGGGCTCTGCGTGGTCCCAGGGAGGGGGAATGGTGCTCGTGCTCTGGGACGCTCCTGGGGGTCATTCAGCCACCCCAGTTATGGGTCACTGGGACATGAAGCTGTGGTCTTTAGCACTCTGAAGACATGGGAACACAACTTGAAGAGATGAGAAAAATATGCCAAAGAGAAAAAACTAGATTTTTACACAGTTGCCTTCACAGCAGAAGGGAGAAGTAACCTTAAACATGAAGCTGGATGAGTTCATAATGGCTTGGCAGGGTCTGAGGTGCTGGGGACACAGATGAGTTTTAATGCAAATGACAGAAAGCTTTGTGCTGGCATAGCTCAGCAGTCACACGGTTTGGTTTCCACCTGGGACATCCGTGTTTCTGGCACGAGCTGCAGGGATGCAGGGAGCCCAGCCCAGGTGTCTCCACCAGAGCAAACACCCACCACATTGTAAGAGACTGCAAAGTCTCTTACAAATGAGCCTGGCAGTTCTCACCAATTAGCAAAAACTGCTTTAGCCTTACCTCAACTCCAAGCTGTGACTTCATCTGTTCAGTGCTCATGAGGGACCCATCAAAGACACCTAAAATTAGCTGTTCTGGGGCTAAAATTTTCATGAATCTGAAAACTATTATTATCTTGGACTTTCCAGTTAGTCTCTCTTACAGAATAAGTCTCGAAATACCAGATTCTCCCTCCATTACAAAAAAAGAACCATAAGAAAAAGAAAAAGGCATCCTAACTCCTCCAGGATGGGGTAGCAAGTACCTCTCCCAGCTGCTAGGGCTGGATGGGGC